AGCGAAGACGGCAAATAAACTTGAATTTAGCATCCTTACTTGTCGAGATGTATTAAAAAACTGTCAGCTTTTTTACTGCCATCCAATAGATCTAGGCTTAATGAGAATCCTCATCTGTCACTCTTCAGTGTTTAGTATGGATTCATTATTCTTGTTATCCTGAAAACATAGAATTGGTACATTTTGGGCACCTAGACGTGAGTCACACAAAATCTTATAGTTTGTTCCGGGACTGGGATACTGACTGGATGCCTAGACCAAAGTAAGTGGTTGTCTTAATGGGCCACTCCACGAGTCTCAAACTTGATGTTTGATTCGCAAGGCAGTGGAGTAGCGTTCCTATAGTTGATGGAGACCAAAACAGGTTCATACACCATTCGATCCTTTCGGAACCTGGAGTACATGTACACCACGGATTTGGGATCAGGGTTTTTCAGCTCCCCTAGGTAGACCTGTGTGTCCATCAGTCCGGTTGTAAGCGCAAAATATTCACATTAGCCCTCACATGTCTGAGAGGAACACCCTCACCGCATGAAGGTAGAGAATGGGACTTACCTTTCATAAGCTATAGACGCCTGACCACATGGGAGAATTTCAAGAGGAAGACCTAAGTCTACTCACCCTCGGCCATACTAGATTGTTTATGAGGGCCCCTAGCAAATATGGTAGATGAAGAGGTAGCACACAAGAATTTATACTTTGTGTCACCCTAACGCATTTATGTTTCCTAATTCAAGACATTTTAACTCATATCTGATGACCAAATGAACGGGGCACTCCTTAAACATTCCATTTATTGTATAAAATGTTGCATATGATGTTTTAAACACATTATGGCCGTAAAACTTACTTTCCTTTAATAACTATACAATTCGCTCATGTTTCTTGTAACTATTTCGCTTCGTATTTTATTTAGCAGTTAACTCTTAAAAATTATTTCTACGCAGCTGCAAATTGATTTGTTTTTCCTTGCTTTTTTCATAGTCATGTTTCTAAAATTTTGGTCAGTTTTAAAATTAAAAATATGTGTAATTAGAGTGAAAGCTTTCTTCCCCCAAATACTTTTTTGTTGTAGGATGGAAAGATTTTCAATATCTAATTCAGTGATGAAGGAGAAATACCGTCAGTGATTTTGTTGGTCTGCTGGGATTTGATTGTTTATAAGCTGATCACGAAGTAACTTCACTTAGGAAACCAGTGAAAATTAGTGAATACTTATACAAAAAACCTCAGGTAGAGTGAAGGCATACAACCAACTATCATTACTGTTCCTAACCAACAGTGGGGTTAGACAGGGTTGCCCAATCTCCCCATTTCTCTTTAACTTTACCATCAATGACATTCTGGAGTCAGCTCTGAAGGATGTGCGTGAAGGTGGTGTAGATGTGCTCTTTAGTGGGCGACTTTCCGACCTCGAGTATGCAGACGATATCGTCTTACTGTGCGATAGCATGTAGGCTGCCCAAATTGCACTTAATCAGTTGGCGATCAGTGTTTGTAAGTATGGTATGTGCTTTGCGCCGTCTAAGTGCAAAGTACTGTTACAAGATTGACAGGAGCCTGTACCTGCACTCACTCTTGCAGATGAACCACCTGAGGTTGTCGATAAGTTTGTGTATCTGGGTAGTTGTGTGAGTGCTGACAGAGGCGTGAAGGATGAGATTTCCAACCATATCATGAAAGTTAGGGTGGAATACGTTAACCTGATCCACCTCTGGCGCCGTCGCGACGTTAGCCTGGCTGACAAAGGTTGGGTATACAATGCTTCGGTGCGGGCTGTCTTGCTCTACGCCTGTGAAACCTGGCCTCTCCGAGCTGAGGATGTGCGGCGACTCTGCGTATTCGATCATCGCTGTCTCCGCAGGATTGCTTGCGTTCGATGGCATCATCGCGTGAGTAATTCTGAGGTTCGGCGGCGTGTGTTTGAACACAGTGGAGATCACCATTCATTGAGTGTCGTCATCTGGAAACACCGGCTCCGGTGGCTTGGAAATGTGCTGCGAATGTCATTCCAGAGGTTTCTGTTCAGGTCTCTGTTCGCTAGTCCTGGGGCGGGATGGAAAAGGCGGAGAGGTGGTCATTCCATGACATGACGTCGTGGGATGAAGGATATCTGTGCTAGGTTAGCATTGGTTGGGGCGTCATGACTCCCTATTTGGAGTCCGAGAGATAGCTCGAAACGTTGTCCAATATGGCCAAAAGTCGTAATCAATGACGAATGTGCTGCAATTTCCTTTTTTCTTCCCTTCCCGATGATAGTTGACGAATGCTGTTTGAACTTGTTAAATATGACTGTTTTCCTTCCAAATGAAGTACTTTATCCGTTCTCTACCTATATTTTTTTACTTTTAATCTATGTTGTTTTATTATTATTGTGTGGCGTATCACTAATTTCGTCGGATCCCCTTCATCTGCTTACAACCTAAAAGCTGATAATGTGAATGTGTATAGAATTCTGTTGTACTTGCAAGGATCAGCATGATTTTTGTTAACAAAGACACGTGTTAATAAACAATGTTCAGAAGTTACACTCATATAACTAATGAAGGAGGTCAAGGTTCAAACAGAATATAAACATGAGAAATTAATGGTTGGATACATTGAAAATTGAGTTGCACAGTTAAGACCAGAGGAGAGAAGTTGATGATGGGCGATAGTATGATCGACCTATGTCAAATCATAGAAACAAAAAGAACTGGAATACACTGAAGCACTGAAACTTAACGATTTTCCATATTAACATTTTATCTAAAAGTAGAAAAAGTTGATCAGAATTCGATCTATTTCTAAATGTCACAATCTCGCCTATCAAATACGACCAAAAATCGATAGATATCCTTCTCATGTTAACTCCAACTGTATATACAAATTTACATGCATCTGCGGGAGCAGTTACATTGGAAGAACAGAAAGAAGGGCATATCTACGATTTTCTGAACATGTACCAAAAAGCTTACGTCTAAAGGGAACAAATGCTTTAAACAGTGCCATCGCCAGGCATCTCCTCGACACGGGTCATGAGGTGGACGTCGAAAAGTCGTTCAAAATTATCAATAAGCAAAAGAGCTCAATTCTCCTTAAGTTTGCTGAAGCCATTTCCATCAAGCGCCTGATTTGTGCGTTCAGAAAGAAGCGGTTATCAGTCTTTCTTTGCCCTGGTAACTAGATATTTTTCATCCGAATGCGAGATGCTGAAAAGTTTTCATTGTGTATGATTATTATTGTTCGGAATAGTGTTTAATATTGCGTATATATATGTATATATTATTAGTGTATGCGTATATTGCTCGATTGATTTTTGTTTAAAATGAACTCTGTGCAAGTATGTTAAAATTGTTTTTGTAGATACATTTAATAATGTCTTTGCCCTGTAAGCAGCTGACGAGAAGACAACGAAATAAAAGATGGTACCATTTTATTTTGCTAAAACTGTAGTTCTTGCTTTGTTCAAAGTAAATAAGACTAAGCCTCTCAGTTGTAGTCTATTGACACTAAAACCTACAGGTCTCAGTCTGCATTCTGTAGGAGCTAAGCAGTAAACTCTGTGAGCAGAACCCCAAAGAGAATGGAACTGTGATCAGAAAAGCCTTCATTTCTCGAGCATGAAACCTGAGTTCAGAACTTCCTCCTGATTGTGTCCAACCATCCAACATAATGAGAGGCAAACTGAGCTGCACTAATTCGTTACTGCGAGTAATTCCATACTCACCACAATAACTATGATACAAGTAGTTTCATATTACTGTGACTAGTTGACAAGAGTTTGACCAGTGTTTTTTGTAAGATTTGAATGTAACTCTGTCACATCATATCAGCTGGAAGCATTGAGTGTTTTTAACCTTACTTGTTGATCAGTAAGCCATTAATACTCTAACAAATGGTTACAAGTAAAAATGAATAATTTATATTAATATACAGGCATTCTTCTCAACAATGAAATAAATCTTCTTCATTCTGAATGATACTAACCTACTTTAATCAATGTCGGACAAGTAGTCACATACTTTTTCTAAAAAAATTAACAGTGGCAACTAGTCATGAATTATCTGCCACTTGAGTAATCTCGTTATTTATTCTGACATAATTTATGTTTTTTCCTTATATCGTAATGCTGTCCAGAATGATTTCACTGGGGTTTAACTATAACGTCTGTATTTCGGGAAAAATCCCCATAAACCATTTCTTGTCCTATGTGGCTGATAGCGGCTAGCAGTGGAATCCAGGGTGGGCACTTCTTCCTATTTGGAACTACTCAGGTCAACGCATCTGTTAGCCATCATCGATCCGATAACGTCATTTTAACCTTCAGTCATCATTGGAACGTCTGTACTACCAGCCGACATATCAGCTAAGACCAAGCACCTGCTTACAATGTAATCAATCAAAGGGAAATCCAAAACAATAACTGCGAAAAATAATATTTTGTTTCAAGTGTTATCATGGATAGATATCGGTTAGAGAACCAATGGAAGCCAGGAAGTTCTCTAACTGATAACAAACCAAATCCCTACAAAATAACTTTTGAAAATTAATTTGATGCTCACTAATGACTGACTATCGGTCAACGTTGCCTGGAGTTTTAGTGAGAACTAGTGACCAGTGGGGTCTGCCAGCTCAGTTTTGCGGACAAGCACTCGCCAACGATATTGGCTGGTGGTCGCGCTAAAGTCGCGGACTGATAGAATTTAAAATTCATGGGTCACTGAGCACCGGCCCAAATGACTAAATGGTCGGTGAACTTGGCCTCATAGCCTGTAGGTCCTAGGTACTATCTAATAAAGATAATTTGGTGATGGTTCATCGGGTTGAGGAAGACAATTGGACATTTGATAAGGGAATTTACGATAATAATATTGTCTTCGTTTAACAGAATTTTGTATACTTGAAGAATTCATTATACCTTCATCAACTGATGAATCATAATAACTTGATCCAACATCACCATAATCTTCTGAATCACCCTCTACTCCTCCTCTAGCTAAAAGAGAATCATTTATACCCTATGATGCTGATGCTGATACTGATAATTGTACAGATTTCATTGAATTTTGATAGCTTTGACTGGCATTGTTTACTGAATGCATATGATGAATATTTCTTCGACTATTATTAGTAGTCAACTCTAATTTCGTGTCCATTTCGCCAGCCATATAGAGTAGATTTATCGTGTTTAAAGCAGCTGAGAATTCAGCCAGTTTTTTGCATGCCATTGGTTCACTAACTATTGTTTCTTTCGGAAACATTTATTTCATGATACGAATTTAAAACAAGCAATAAAGGTTAATAAAGCAGGATTTAATGAATTCATCAAATTTCGGTAGAACTCGTCAGCTGAATTACTCTACATACACGAATATATACTTTTGAAGTTACATTGGGAGATATAGGACTGAATACTTTACATACACGGATATATATATATATGTTGATGACATTTTTATTGCCTGTGGAAGCAGATCAAAAGCTGAAGACATGCTGATAAAATTCAACTCATGCCATCCAAATCTCAATTTCACAGTAGAATACGAGGAAAATGATACTATCAAATTCCTAGACGTTTTTCTGGCGAAAATGAATGACGGCACAATCGAAAGATCTATATTTAGAAGGTCCTCATGGACAGGACACTACATGCATTTCAAGAGTTTTGTTCCAATCCAGTATAAAAAGAACTTAGTCAGAACAGTGTTCAACAGAGCACTAAAAATTTGTTCTGACAGTACTGTTGAGTATGAAATAAAATCCCTGAAGGATATATTATCTAAGAATGGATATCCTGAGAAGTTCATTAATAAATACTCTAAAGAAAATAGCCCCTGCATAACAATCCAAACAGTTCCGAAGAAACCTGTCTATATCAGTTTGCCGTTCAAGGGAGATGATGTACAGGAAGTAGTCAAACGAAGACTCGACAAAGCCATCAAGAGAACTTATTATGCTGCAAAACTTGTTTTCCTTAACACCACTAAGCGAGTGCTTCAACAATCTGGGAAAGACCAGTCGCCAATCCTCGACACTTCAAACTGCGTATATCAATTTGAGTGTGTTTGTGGAAGCAAATACATAGGTCGTACGGAAAGGAGATTGTCTACTCGCATGATGGAGCATTTGCCGAAATGGTTGAAAACAGCTGAGTTCAAAGTGCCAAAATCCTCAATAACGAAGCATCTTGTGGATTACGGGCATGATATCGACGCAGTCAAGTCATTCACCATTGTCAGCAGACAAAGAAACAAGAAGATATTGTTTCTTTTATTGAACTATTGATTGGTAAGCGTAAAACACACTGGTATAAATTATAAGTCCCATTAGGTTGTAAATCTTTATTTGAACCACATGTTGATCCTGGTCCAGTCGATGAGGGTTTAAAACCTTTTGGTTGGGGAAATACTTCCCAATACCATTTCGGTGTTAAACTGGTTACATAATCACTGGGTAGATGTGCACAATATTAGTTGATTACATTGATTGCTTTGGATAAAAAGAATTTTGGACCATTTGGACCACGAGGAAAGATTGGAGGAAGAATTTTTTCAGCCACTGAGGCATCAACATCATGTTCATCACAGAAAAAACTATGACCTCTGCATCGTTGGACAAGAAGTTGTTCAAGTTGTTGAAATTTCCCCAAAAATAGATCATTTGTTTGATCATTACAATCTGAGACATTATCATCATCATCATCATCATCATCATCATCATCATCATCATCATCATCATCATCATCATCATCATCATCATCATCATCATCATCATCATCATCATCATCATCATCATCATCATCATCACTATCGCCATTTTGATTTCCTTTATTATCTATTAGATAAATCACTTTTGTGCCATAATCAGATAGCCTTGATCTAGCTTACTTGACAAGTATTCAGCTAAACTATTAGGCAGGCTTAGAGCAATGACTAAATTACATCTAGGCAATTCAGTCCCACTAGTTGTTACTGCTGAAATATCTGCTTGAGTTGCCACCAGGAGATTGATTGTTTCTTCTTGATTAACAGAGAATGGATTCCATGGATTGGTTGATGAACTGTCATTATTTACAGGTTCATTGCCAAACTTCACAAGAGATTTGTATGAATTAAAATTTGATGTGTGCTGCTGTTGTTTAGCCTTATTGATAAATGCTGTACTTGACGACTTATCATCATCGACTTTTAACAAGGTTTGACGACAAAATAAATGCGCAGTTTTAATAAAGTATAAATCCACATCCCATATGCATAATTCATCAATTAAACGTGATAAAGCATAGGCTGAAAATTGACTCGGAGCTATAATCAGACCGCATAGACGATTTAAAGAAATGTTATTTCCAGTAGAACCACTTTTAGATGATACTTTCTCTGTAGATTTTGACTGATTATTTTTATTGTCATGATCAATGTCTAATACAGCACGATAAATTAATGTTGACGGATCAATATCTGGTTTCATACCTCCACTATTCAGCATAGATGCAGGAACAAAGTGTAGATCTTTGAAATTGGGTATATTTGCTGATGAATTCAATTTTTTTACGTTTATGACGTTTGGATGATGAATTCAAGTACTATCCACTGTGGAGTCATATGTGCATACTGATGAAGAGTTCAAAACTATCACTAAACAGCTGATCAGTACTCTCTGGCTTTCAGTGACTCTCTACCTGATGCCAGTCTGTGATCAAATATGAAACAAATCAAGTCCTTACAAACTAACTTCTGGAAATACGTTTTGTCTTATTTCTTACTGTGCCTTTCTTATCTGTCTCTCATTAAGTTTTGGTCTGTTTTTGAGCATATTCGACTTCATTGCTACTATCTATGCGGTAATAATGTTATGGTGTTTGTTTCATGAAAAGAGGGATTTCAAACAGAAAAATTGGGTTGATTACGCAAGCATCTGATAATTTCATGAATGATAGACGAGGGAAGAGAAACTTGCGTAAACTGATAAGCAATAAAATCTAACATTTTCTAAAATCTGAAAAATTCTGATATCAATTTGTTTCTGAAATATTTCTCTCTTATCAGAACTATTTTCTCCACTAGAATTTATGTTTTGTTACAGAAAGCTGAATGATCACCAGACTTATCGCTTTAATATTTCGTAAATTAAATTAAATTTTGTGAAAACTTGTAAAGACATATTCTGAGATAAATGAATACACAATATCTGTACTGATCGACATTGTTCTAATATTCTAAATTAAGTTGCTGAATTTCGAAAACACAGTGAATGCCTGTCTAACTGGGTTAAACTATGTGTTCGCCTTACACGCGCATTCTCGAGGTCATTCTTTTAAACTCAAGTCTTTCTTGATACAACCCCATGTATATGATCACTGATGCATCCGCTTAAGCATAAGAATTTGTGAGTAGTATGGTGATAATTCTATGGTGTTATTAGATGTAACGTTAAGTTCAGTTATCAGTAATTATAAGATGGAGTGAATACTTTTTATATATGCTTGGACAGTTTATTTCTTCAGCGATGGTAAATTACCACCTTTCCTTCTGTTTGTCCTACCTTAAGCAGAACTTCAACAACATTTTTTCATATCAGGTAGCAAGGAATCATTTAAACAAAGTTCCATCCACATAACTCGGCAATCCAGATTGAATTTAATAAATATTAGATGGCTGGTGGCAGATGGCAGGAAGCTTTGGATCTAAGTTTCTTGCTTCTTGTCACACGTCAGTAAGATGTATCTGTAACGTTGAAGGACATGACGCTCATTCTGATATTCGAACCGGCGTTCCATTGAAAACTTGACTAATAGAACTCGGTCAGCATCAGTACCAAGGATTAGACACATGACATTGTTTATTCTCTACAGAAAGTCATTTGTGAGCCTAGATAGCTTACTGGCACTGTCTTTGGCTGCAGCAGTGAGTGACAAATGTCGCAACCAAGAGGGTAGATCACTTGCTTACCTATTGTCGCCAATCACCTAACATTATGGCAAAGTGAACATTAGTGGAGAGTCACCTAACTTGACGAGCAAACTGCAAAGCTGACTGATAGAGTTCAGTCAGAACAAACATCAAGGAGTTTATATGTGAATAAAACAAGAAGAATAGTTTTTGCAGACTAATATGGTACCATCAATGTTTGTTTCGTTGGCTTCTCATCAGCTGCTTACAGCCCAAATAAACTATTAAGTTTATGTACAGAAAAGTTTTAACATACTTGCAAATTTTACATGATGTCAGTTGACAGGAAGTTCTGAACTTAGTCAACAGTGCTCAGAAACTTACACTTATATAGTTTTTGCACAGGAAGTTCAAGTTTGAACAAAGTAAATGTATGCATACAATGGTAAAGGAGTTACATAATCAATACGAGAGATGCGTAAGATGATGAGTAACAAATAAATTGGGTAACAATCTACTGAGTTCAACTCAAATAATAGAAACAAGAGACTAGCAAAATTACACTATATCAAAGGAAGGTGGGTTAAAGCCAAAGAAAGAATAAAGACATCCAGTTACCAGGATGGACAAGGAAAGACTTAGAACTTCTTCTTTCTGAACACGTAAATCGGGTTTCAGGCGTTTGATAGAGATTGCATAGGCAAACTTGAGGAGAATTGAGTTTTTTGTTTATTGATAATTTTAAAGGATTTTGCGATTTCCACCTCATGACCCGTATCAAGGAGATGCCTGGTAATGGCACTATTGCGGGGTTTGTTCTCTTGAGACGTGGGCGTTTTGGTACATGTTCAGGAAATCGGAGGTGTGCCCTTCTTTCTGTTCTCCCAATGTAACTGTTCCCGCAGATACGGATATATGTGACATTTGTAATTACCTCGTAATCAACCAATTATTTTAATCTTGTTGAGAAGAAACGCCAAGATGGGTTAATTGGGCTTTAAAAATACTAAATAAATAAATAACATAAAATTTTTTATGCGAACTTATTGTTTTAGTTAGCAAAGTTTCAGTTAACAATCTGTATATTGAAAAGGCTTTAGTAGGGTTTTTTAGTTATGAAAAATTATGGTTATTTTCTCTCTAATCAAAGAAATAAAATATTGTGTGACGAATGGGAAGACAATCTTCAGCAAAGAGTCTCTTTTCACTGGATTCACTATTGAGCTGTTCAATAGTGAATACATGATTTTACAGCTTGATAGTAAATCTGTTGTACCGGACATTGTAGTTTGGAGAACGCAATAAAAACAATGATGCTCAGACGACGTTTCTTTCAAAATACATAACTCATCCGTACGATTCTAGAATTTTGACAGCTGTGACTACAGTGGTATAGATTATTAGCAATAATTTATGCTCAAAACGTCATCCATCAATGTGTGATATTTGAAATGAACTTATCTTATATGGAATCACTTTCTACCACAGTACCCACGTTCTACATTTATGTAAATTTTAAAATCCACTCTTTAAAAGACTTTTGCTTGTAATTGTTCATTTTACTTTCATAAAGTTGAACATTGAATCTACAAAATAATCCATTCTGCTATATTTAAACCTTGTCTAACAGCATCTTTCATCAAAACTGGGGAGATTTTGATTAAAATATGCGTTTTATAGAGTCGTAATTTCCTGTGTGGAGGCGTTTCTCATCAAACTAAAAAGAAAAATAGTAAATGGGATTACATATTTCGAAATAACTTTTGCATTTGACGTAGGTTAATTCCAGATTTAAGCGAAATAATTCAATACATTTATCAAGTTTTACGTCTGTAGTTTTGCGTTCTTAAAGCAACTACAGTTCCAACGTATTTTCACACCTTTAAATACACAGGAAAATCCACCAAAATCTAAACCAATTTGTTTCCATTTTATGTTACTCATGCATAACACACTGAAGTAAGGTTTTGGCAGAAGTTAAAGGTTTCCGTGTCCAGCTTCCGATAACGCCTTTTTCATATTTATTGAGATAAGTAATACCACCATCGAAACATGTAATAAAGTAATCAGAATTTGAAATTCACGTAGCATTGACAAATATTCATATCTAATGGGAAGCAGTTATGCGGTCATCAAGAACTGAAAGAGTACTCCGCGGTTATTAGATTCCAGTTTCGAGGATATTGCTAAGCAAACGAACCCAATGTAGATCTAGACTCCAGTTATAGAATCATAACTGTTCAAAAGCGATTATTTTCAAATTATAATTAAACAGCTTTCAAATATTAGATGGTTGGAGGTAATCGGCAGGAAGCCCAGCCTGACCTAGGTTTCGTGCTAGTTGGCACTCACCAGTCAGCAAGGCGTATCTGCAACCTTGAAGGAATTCATATTCCTTCTGAAATTCGAACCCGCGTCACCCAGTGATTACTGCAGTCAGAGACGTTACCACTGAGCTATTCGGGCTCGTGATTGCCCTCCTGTAGGACTGTATTGGCTTCTTTGATTGGACACTAGTAACTAGTGTGATGTGTCTAGTCCTTTCTTTGGTGCAGACTGAATTCTATCAGTCAGCTTTCAAATATACATGGATTATAAACGGGGTGGGAAAATTTTCCCTATCGAGTTAAGATCCTAAGAGAACGTTAGATCCGAAAAAATGTTCTTTTTTCACTCCTTGCTGTTCGATTTTCGGCGATGTTTTTTCCATCTAATTGAGTTGCTAGCCTCAGACGCAACTCTCCCACTTTTCCGGGATTGCTACCGGTTAGTCAATCAACTAGGCCAAGTTTAGGAGTGAGTCGGCCGAAAATCAAATTGAGAAAAATCACATGATGGTGGGCATTCTACCACTGAACCACCCGCCGCATCTATTTTCAGTCATAATATCTACCTAATGTTTGGATGCGGATCTTATTTAGCGTTCACACTATTTCACTGTATTTTGCTTTATGTGCACACATGATTTGGGTTATTTACTTCCAGATATGTGTTATCTTATTCACTTAGAACAAGTTCACTAGACTATGCTACCGTTCAAATAGGAAAGTTATCACAGGTGAAATTAAACCGTACACAATAGGACAGAATTTAAATTTCAGATTGTACACATTCTAACATTTTTTTTTATCTGGATTTTGAAATTCAGCTTTGTCTAACGCTGATATTTACTTATGATTTCACTTTGTCATAATTATTTGTAAATTTAACTTCTAGTAAGCAAGAGATGGAAAATTTGTTTGATCTGTCAACTTTCTACTGACTGAATGCTGTACAAAAAAAACTCCGATTAATTCCTACTTTCTGATTTAACCAAGGTATAGCAAGGTCTACGCGAATGAGATTTCGTTACCAGAAGTATCAAACAGAAAAAGGTAAAAAAACTAATCGAACACGCTTCCACCTGTTTAATTTCTTGCCTTAAGTTCTTCGTTTGTTGCCGAATGAATTCAATCAGTCAAGTTTGGAAGGTGGCTACCTTTCTTAGTGGTTCGACATCACGGTGCACTCTGAATCGTCGTTATTAGATGGTTGGAGGCAGATATACCTTACTAATTAGTGCCAACAAGCATATGAACTGCGTCCAAAGCTTCCTAC